AAAAAAAAAAGGAAAAAAAGGTGTATCGTCCCCATGGTCGGGCCACAGCCGAGATGTCTCGGCCACACCCCAGATTGCCCACGGCCGAAATGTCTCGGCCACACCCCATGGTCGGGCCACGGCCGAGATGTTTCGGCCACACCCCAGATTGGCCACGGCCGAAATGTCTCGGCCACACCCCATCTAATCACGAAGGCCCATGTGAACCAGTTTGGATGTTGCCGAACGAGAGTGAACATGCTGAGGTGAAAGGTGTACGTTCTACGATCAGAAGTAAGGAGTAAGCGTTGACGAAACGAAAGCGTGGAGACTAGCGAAGGGAGCGATAGATCGCTGGCCAAGTGGAGACGAAGCATCGCGATCACCAACAGCCAACACGGCAGGATCCAGGTATCGAGATTACGGGCGCGATGCGGAGCGAGACCGTGATCGGGATCGTCAGTATGATGATAGACGTGTGGGTGGATCTAATCGAGGAGATCGAGACTGAGAAGGAAGACGGGAGCGATATGACAGGGGACGAAGTCAAAAGCGGAACCTGACGCATCGGAAACCGCCACGCAGATTTGTGCCAGTGGGCTATGAGTGCGGGGAACTCGGTCATTACAAAACCAATGCCCTCACCTAGTGGGAGAAAGCAGTTCAGGGTATGGAGGGCCACGTGGGCGCTCGCTATCCCCGAGACATTTCATAAGAACTACAGGGAGGAGATCGACGTCCGAAGAACCCGCGTTGAACAAACAATTGTATGAGCTGAAGAGTACACTGGCCGAGATGAAAGCATATATCGATATAGAGCAGGCACGAAAGGAGGAAGTGGAGAACGAGAGGAAGGCGAAAGAGCTTCATAAGCAAGAGAGGAAAGATCGCGAGAAGAAGGAGGCGGAGGAACGATTGGAGCAGGAAAAGCGGGCGAAGAAGAAAGAGGACAAGAAACGTAGAGAACAAGAAGCGCGTGAAGCAATGCGCAAGGACTTGCGCATGGAAATTAAGACGTATATGGGTGGAGTGGCTGAAGTGGTACATGATAGGTTACTACACGCAATGAAAGCAGACTTGAAAGGGAAGGCCAAGCTTGAAGTCCTATCTCCAGAAGTATCGGCGGAGGAATCGGTGGACAGCGATGTGGAAGCACTAAGCGAGCTGACAGGCAATCTGAGCATCCACGATAAGCGCAAGCAAAGTGCTGAGAAGGAAATAGCGGACAGCCCGCCGATGGTAACGCCAGCGAAACGTCAAGCCAAGCAAGGGAACTTGAACCCGAAGCGCCTCGTATTGAGTTGTCGCCATCCATCTATGAAGAGATCACCCAAGAGGACCACACCAGTTCAAGGGACACAAAGGAGAAAGAAGATACCCGCTACCACGGGAGCACTCAGTAAACTCAAGTACGTCACGGACAAACTAAGGGAGTTGGGCGGGCGTACGGTTGACGAGCTCAAACAAATCTGTCGTGACGAGGATGTTCCCTTCTTGGGAGGGAAGAAGATGGACGCTATCATGGCAATAGCGGAGAAGCGGACGAAGATCGCGTATGGCACCGATAATGACGAGGAGGACGAGGAAGTCGTGCAATTGCAAGAAGCTACAGATCCGAAGGAGGAACGACCTGATAGCGCAGCGGAAGAAGAAATATGAAACAGTAGTGACTACTGGAGGTTGTGCAAAACACTGATCGAAGTACGGAGGGAGAGGGAGTTTGATGCGAAGATTGAGGTACTATATCGTCTGGTCGTTGTCCTGTTGGCACTATATGACCAAAATAAGTGGTTACGTAAGTGCATCGACACGTGGGTTAGGCTATATCAGCGCCATGGAGCATCTATGTTCCATGGAACGCTACAGGGCGTATATATGCTGTCGTCACCAACATGTCGTGCACAGTATATAGGACAGACTAGAAGGGATGGGAATACAAGATGGAGAGAACATGTGTCAGTATGTGGGAGAAGGATGAAGCAGACACACTTGTACAGATGGTGGCAATGTTTTGGTGTTGAGTCGTATGTTATGCTACCGGTAGACGAGTGTGTCGCGAAGGAGCTACAAGCCTTGGAACAGTTGTACATCAAGCAATGGTGTCCCGTCCTTAATACGACGGGAAAGATCGTGAAGGGAAAGAAAACTCGCCAGCGGAAAGGGAAACGTGAGCGCAACAAGACGAAGCGGCACTATACACAGAATCCCAACAAGACAATGGTGGTTGGAGCACGTGTGGAAGGAAATGACGAATGGAGAGTGGGCATCTTCAAACTCCTAGAAGAGCAAGAAGCATCGGACCAGCGTAATTTCGGGTTGAGCACGTCGAAGGGCAATAGCTGGTGCGGAAGCTGGAAATCGTTGAAATCAGCATTTGGTTCTTCTGACGTGAAGGTGAACGGACAGCGTAGGAAGCTCTATGAATGTAAGACCTACCTGGAGGAAAGCGCTCATCTGGAGCTCCTACAATTGAGACGATGGAGACCAAGATCAGGGTCGGATAAACGATTCTTGTGTAGCCTATTTCGGAATCCGAAAAGGATGAAGATCGTCAAGCAATGCAGGCTTGAAGCGTTGGTAAGGTTGATGAAGGCGGCAACTGACTTCTAGAAAGCTTCAACAACAGCGTACCTACGACGGTTAGTGTCGAGAGCGATCAAGGAGGCACATGGTTGGAACGTTAGCAATCCTATCGCTCGTGGGGAAGCAAAGAGCAAAAAAACGCAGTAGTCAGTAGCTACTTACACCGGATCGATAGAAATACTAACGATCGGGCAGCGATACCGAGGAGGGGACCTAGGAAGCAATGGGATCTCAGAATTAAAGAATTTCCCGCAGACTTCCTGAAGAGGGTGCTCAAGCGTTTCGCTCAAGGAAGAGATGCTATATGGTCAAGGACCTACGAGTGGTTGTATGGATGATTGGTTGTATGTATGATTGGATTGACTGAGGGGTGTAAGTGTTGTACAATCCAGTTACAATCCTCGACCTTTGCCTCCTAATTTCGTCATCTTGGTGATCATGAATTTTGAATTTGTAGAGTAAGCTCCGATAGGCTTTTGAACCATCCTTATGATCATGTATTTTGGATTTCGTAGAGTAAGTTCCGTTACACTGTGGATGCAAATAGTAGTGAGGATGGATAATACAGGACAGGGTTTGAAGTCAAATGTGACAGGGTCTTTGTGTTAGGAGATCTGCTCAGTTCGGAGTATTGAAGTATATTCAAACAAGTCTTGCTTTCGTTGTTGAAATGTGACAGGGTCATGATGACAGGTTTGAAGTTTCTAATTTAGTTTTGCTTTTCATGTGTCGGACAGGGTCACGATGACAGGATTGGAAGGCAAACGTGACAGGGTCATTGAGACAGGGGATAGCTTAGGTCGGAATATCGAAGAGGATCGGAACTAACCCTGTTATCGTTTGTTGGAATGTGACAGGGTCATGGTAAAAGGATTGAAGTTTGATTTTAGTTTGTTTGTCGCTCGTTGGAATGTGACAGGGCCATGGTGACAGGACTGAAGTTTTGATTTTAGTTTGTTTGTCGTTTGTTGGAATGTGACAGGGTCATGGTGACAGGATTGAAGTTTTGATTTTCGTTTGTTTGTCGCTCGTTGGACAGGGTCACGGCGACAGGGTTGAAGGTTCTGAATTTAGCTCGTTTGTCGTTGCTGGATAGGTTCATGGTGACAGGGTTGGAAGTTTCTAGACTTAGTTTGCTTCGTTGGTTGGACAGGGTGACAGTGACAGGGTCCGGACGATGCTGTATTTGGATTTTCAGTATATAGTATCATACCGGACCAGACCCAGAAAATTGGCTGGGACGAAGGTAGGCCCGACAGTACTCGAAGCATGGGCCTCTGGGATTTGGGTCCTGAAATGGGGAACGCAGACCAGGAATGTAGTCCAGAACGTGGCTGATAGGAAGTAGACTCGATGGTAAGTAGACAGCAGCTGCCGAGTTGAGCCTTGAACCGGTAATCTGTGGGTAAAGAAGGCAACTCGAATTTTCCTTTTCCCTTTTGGACAGAGTAATGACAGCAGTATAGGCAGGGTAATGAGGAAGTAGGAACATCCTATATCAATAATGATTGACGCGTCTATCGGTCTTTCCGGGTCCGACGCCTAAAGACCCGCGGTCATGTCCGGAGATGGAAGCGGGTTGAAGGCGGAGGTGGGAATGAGGATAGTAGGAATTGACGAGGGAGATGGATTGGTGGAAATCTTCCTGAGGAGGACAGCGTGGCGGCTGTCGAAACTGGTCGGGGTGCCAATACCCACCGGCGTGTTTTTTCAATCATTTGTTGTCACATATGAATGTACTTTGTACTAAGTATGTGTGATTTGATATCTTTTCCGATATCTTTCTCTACCATCATCTAATCACACCCCATGGTCTGGCCACGACCGAGATGTCTCGGCCACACCCCAGATTGGCCACGGCCGAGATGCTGTCTCTTATACACATCTAGATGTGTATAAGAGACAGGTATTATACGTACTTCACCCTATTTTTTTTTTTGTGTGTGTGTGTGTGCGTGTGTGTGTGTGCATGTGTGTGAGCTTTTTCTGAATGCTCTCAATTTGCGTTGTTGTTTTTTTTTATTTTTATAACTGCGCTATATTCTTCTCTCAAATCTTTCATCATCTTTCAAATTCTTTCAATTCACCTTCACTACCTCGGGCCAGGCACAGTTCAGTTCACAGCCAGGTTCAGGAGAGGCCCCGCAGTAGCAATCCTTTTTTACATCTCTGAAAATTCCTTGGTATCACTCCCAGCTTGGGATTGCATGTGAATGATGTTTGCCAAATCGCTAATTACAACTGGCGTCAATGGTTTTTTGGTGATCACGCCTAACGGCGGCTTCCTGGAAGTGGGAATTCTTTGTCAAATTAAATAAAGTGAAGCTTATGGAAACCAAATATTTCTGTTTTTTAGAAATCGTAGGTGTTGGATATAAAGCAAAATTATTTGGAATGTTACCGTGACATTTTTGAAAACGTTTTTGTTATCTGATGAAACATGCTGTGAAAGATTTTTGTACCGCAAAACAGTAAATGTTACTGTATATCATAATTAATTACGACTGGCGTCAATGGTTTTTTTGTGATCGCGCCTAACGGCGGCTTCCTGGAAGTGGGAATTCTTTGTCAAATTAAATAAAGTGAAGCTTATGGAAACCAAATATTTCTGTTTTTTAGAAATCGTAGGTGTTGGATATAAAGCAAAATTATTTGGAAAAGATGGAGCATTGAAGTATTATGATTTATTGATACAAATAGTGAGTGGATAAAAACAGAAAACTGGAAAAAATCTACAAATACTGAGATATGTAAACCAAAAGAGAAAGAAATGAACAAGGCCGCACGACTAATCCAAAGGACGACTTGATGGACATTGAAGTCTACAACCAGCTTCACAAAGGTAAACAGCGGTTCTCCCTTGTAATGGATGGAGCTCCTTGTAAGTTGTAAAGAATGGAAAACCGATGTGCTGCGCACAGGCTGGGTGCTCGCAGACCACCACTCCACTGAGTCCACTCAGCACAGCCCACTCAGATTCCAATCAGTGACATGGAGTACAAACCCAAATTGGGATTATTGGGTTATGCTCTTGGTTCCAAGGGTTCCGCTCTGCAGGTCAATAATCTCTGGAACACCTGCAGTGGAGGAAGAAGCACACACCCGTAGGGATCTCGGTTCCCACTCCATGGGTGAGCATCTTCATCAACATGATCCTGGGAATACTTGAAGTCAAGATCAGCGGTCTTCAGTGGCTCCATATGCACTCCTGTGTTGTCAAATAGACAAGCTCAAGATGTGATACTGTCAACAAGCATGAACAAGACAAGTCACACACGACGACGGAGCCATGTTGGACGCCATGTTGACTAACTATCGACGTAACTCGAAGCCACACGTACGTAGTACGATTCCTACGACGGTTACCACGTGTAAGAAGGTTGTCAAATAGACAAGCTCAATACGTGGTACTGTCAACAAGCATGAACAAGACAAGTCATACACTCCTGTGTGCGTACCGCTCACTGGTGTGCAGAGAAAGGGATGCAGATAAATCCATCCTGGCAGTGCGACGTCTGTCCTCACGCTTCTCTAAGACTTGAAGATTCAAATCACTTGTGGTGGGAATGTGTCGTGGCTAGAGGCTTCTGGGACTGGCTAAGTGGTTTGCGGCATATGGACCTGAGAGGCGTTTGGACAAGACAATTTATTCTGATGGGTAGTAACTTAAAGGCAGGTGAAAAAGGAAAAAAAAAAAAAAAAAAACCTTAAAGGCAGGTGATCACAGAACAGTGACAGCAAATAAATTTTGAATTTTAGAGTACTGGGCTTCTGGGTACTATGGATGGCTACAGTCTTTCCCCGAATACAACGTACGGTCATTATAGCTGAATTTGGTGTATCTTTCGGTCTAAATTCAGCTATAATGACCGTACGTTGCATTCGGGGGAAGACTGTAGAAGAGATTTAACAGGAAATTTTGGTCTCCTTCAGCAATTAGAAACAAATTCAAATATGCAGTTCGTAATCTAATAATGGCCGAGTGGAGGAAAATCAGGAACTCTGAGCCCCTCCCTCACTTAGCCAGGAGAAGTTTCACAGCACGATGGGGTTCCTCTTTCAAATGGATCTACTTTTCAATACACGGACGTCTCTTGGTCTCCAAACATCTG